ACTGTCAGCCACGCCCTGTTGGTTGCAGAAGACTTCTTAGCATAGTCAGGCGCTGCACTGTGCAAAAGCATTCCTGCAGGCGACGACACTTCCTCAATGAAGGTTCCCTGGGAAGTTTGCTATCCAGACTTTGATGGGCCTGCTTCGTTCTTTGTGACGTTGGCGTTGCATTGTAGAGAGCATCGCGGAAGTCTACCGAGGATTTGAAATCTGCTGTCAGTGCAGCAGAAGTCTCTCCATGCAGAATGTCCAATCCCTGCTCTGTGGCGCTGTGATGTTCACTGTATCAATCCATCCTAAGAGCCCCTGCTCCCAAAAACGAACGATGAGCCGAAGCCTTTGAGTCCATGCTCCACGCCCTCGATACCCAACGTGCATGGATTGTCCTCACAAGCGCCAAGTGCTGCCAGGTTTCTGGCAACACATCCAGGAACTGGGAGGCCGTTCTGGACTGCACGAGCCCAAGGGCAGAGAGTCTTGGTCCAGAATTGCAGCAGCAATGGTAACAGCTTTGTGCACGAAGCCGAACTTTCGATCCGGGTGCGCAGCCTTAGACGACGAGGCCCGCTGAGTGCACGTGATGGCTACGATCGACCTGCCACGCGAGATGGTGCTGGCCCTGGTTCGGGGTTCTGCTTCAGCAGCATGAGGGCCTTATGCTTCTGAGGCGCTCGGCCGTGCACCCAGGATGGCAGCAGATGGCCCGCGGCCAAGCGCATGGTCACCTCGTTGCCTCCATTCGGCGCCGCTTTTCCGCTCCGAGGCGCTTGGAGAGTCGCCCGGTGACTCGCGACGGCCCTCTGGAGCATCGACAGACTCTGGATGGCCACTTAGCGGCTTTCTATTCAGCAGTCCCTTTACTTATGCTGAGCAGAAAGGGGGCCTCTGAGCGCAGATGCCGCTTAGAGTGTTAGGGTGTCAAACGTTGCAGCGTGCAGCGCGCTCTCTCTCTCTCTCTCTCTCTCTCTCTCTCTCTCTCTCTGCCTTCACTGATGAAGGTAACCACCTTGTCGCCGTGCACAGCACTTCTTTGAAGTTGGATGATTCCAGAAGTCGTCGTGTCATCGAAGTCTGTTGCTGCCCAAGATGTCGAGCACAACTGCACGCGTCCGGAAGCCACTGGAATGACCGACTCGGCACGGATCGGGTAGCATCCTGAACGTGATAAGTGCAACATAACAGCTTGGCCTACTTGGCCGATCACGTTGTAGCCTCCAGCTTCCTTTGCTCTTGGAACGGACATCGTTGCAACTCGTTGTTTTGTCGACTGCGTTTCGTGCAAATCCGAGTGTGCTAATGCATTGACGTCACTCCTCGTGGCTCCATCCGTCAAACTCCGCAGCATCTGCGACTGCGAACGCTTCGCAGGCGTTCGGCCTAGCACGAGAGATGGAGCACGGCTTCAACAGGCCCTTCAAGGAGTTTAGGATTGACTTGAGTTTTGTCGTCAGAGGACGCCCAGGACTTGCTTGTGCAGCTTGTGACATTTCCGGCTTCTTCCGTAAGCTTCAAGCTGTGTCTTTGCCAGATGATCGATGGGAATCGACGATCAGAAGCCGGGCCACGCCCCGGAACAAGGTCGCTTCTGGGCTTTGCTTTGTTTGGTCCGGATTTTTCTGCAATGCCCGACTCGCTGCCTTGCCCTTTTTTTTGCTTCAAAGACCTGAAGGATTTTCCAAGTGCAAAATCTTAACATGTGCCTGGAAAGCTCCTGTAAACTCCGGTGCCCTGGTCTGAAACAGAAAGACACAAGCGCTCCTTTACAGGGACGGGCGAGCCTCTACAAGGCCTCTGCCTGAAACGGATAGGATTGGAGTTCGAGCCTTCAGGATTTGGATCAAGGGTTGGCTGCACCAGGGCCACTGTGTGCGTCAGGGAGTCAACAAAGTTTGTAAAGGCGCCATGAACACGTGTGTCAGGGGTGGCACCGCCGAACGCCGTGGCCACGAGACATCCCTTCGCCAGGCATCGGGTTTTCGTTTTCGCCGGAGCTCCGATGCACCTAACAGGAGCGAGGTGTAGAACGAGAGCCAGGAATTGCTCTTTGTGGTTCCGAGTTCTCCCATAAAAGTAGCCTCCGGAGCATGGCCCGCCAAGGCATCTTATTCCTACTGGCTATGGGATGAATTGCCCAAAGAGTTTGTGACGACTCATGCAGCGATGTTCCTTGCACTGCTGTAGGTTGCGGGCTACTCAGTAACAAACAGGAACTGGCATGACTCTCGGTGACAGCAGCATGATAGGCCCCGAATCTTGGTGGCAGACGATCACGAAGGTGAACCTATGCTAAGTCTTGACATCCGAATTCGGAGCAAAATCGCACAGGCCACCGGCAGAAGCAAGAAGCGACATCCGTCGCAGCATGTAAGGGCCTCAGCATGCTTTCGTACTGCAGCACGCTGCAGTCATGGACAGAGCCGTGGAAATCTGAGACCGGTCTTTCAGAGACTGGAGCTTTGAGTGTTTTAGCTCCAGGGAGTGCCTGGGCTTCGTCACAGTTTAGGGTTTAGGGTTGGCCGTGCCAGGCACCAGAGGTCCTCAACCTGGACACCAGCTCCAGCCCGGAGGCTTCCAGAGATGATCATTGAAGCTAAATAGAGAAATATCTTTGGAGTCAGGCAACTGTAGACTCTGTAGACCCTACACTCTAGGTCGGGACTACCAAACTCAATGCCAAACAACGACTTTGCTGTTTGTTGCATGCAGACATGCTTTTCAATCCTTGGAGAACTTTGCGCATTGGGACTGCAAAAGAGGCTTGTGGAGGTCCTGTCGCGGCATGTCAAATGTTACTTGACAGGCTCAGACACAGCCTCCACAAGCCCAACCGCTACAGCTGCTTCTGATGGAAGACTCCCGACAGAACCGGGCTCCTTTCGGCGTGCTGGCACCCGAGTGCCTTAGCCCCTGTATGGACGCCGACGAAAGTGCCAGGCTCCCAGCAACCAGGATGGTAGGCATCTCCGGCCGAGTAAGATCACCATGGCGCAGTCAAGTTCAGCAACGCTGCATCACCTAGGCCGAGCTGCTTGAGTGAGAGCTGTTTTTTGCCACTGAGCTTGAATCGCTGCAACATTGCTGCTGAAAGCATTTGGGAACTGCAAAAGTGTCACAGGCGAGGCAGCTTGTCAAGCAGTGCGGTAGCGTTTGTCTTCCAAAACAGTCCGCGTTTCTACTTTTTTTGACCTCCAGAGAAAACTTTGTCGGTGAATCTCGCAGCTTCTGGCATCTCTAGAGGTCCAGTGCAGGTTCCGGGCCGCAGACTCGGCCGCATATGGCCAGCTGTGCCCAAAGCAAGGAAGGGGCAGAAGGAGTTTTTGCAGAGGCGGGCTCTATGCAAGCCGAACACCGGCAAGCAGCCATAGTCATGAGGGCGAGGTTCAGCGAGACCTAGACAACATGTTTCCTTGCACTTTGCCTCTGCCCTCACGGACTGGCCTGCCTTCACGTTTGGGTTGCAGATAGCTCCAGGCTTACCGGCTGAAGCCGCAGATAGCATCGTCACCATGCAGAATTGCTGCCCGATCCTGCAAAGTTGTGTGACTGCTCTCAGCTCCATGTCAAACTGACAACTGGGCTGAGAGCATGCGTGTGCACGATGGTTCAGAGCGGGAAGAACCACGGTGTCATCCGGCGTGTTAATAGTTCAGAGGCCGAAAGGTGGAAATACATTCGCACTGTAGTCAACACCTCATGTACCGACGACCTTTCCACCATTTCGGCGGCGTCGTTTGCTAAGCATGTTGCACCCCAATTCATCAACTGACCCTTTGGCGTTTCACTCGAATATCTCGAATTATTTTCAACTTCATTTGCAGGCTCGGTCACGGACGCCAACTGCACAGAGCAGGTCAAGCTGTAAGACGTACGAAATACGCATCGACTGCCCTGCAGCTGTCGCAAGGCCGCTTCGGCAGTGTTTTTTTTATGGCACCCCCTTCGCTGCCTTCGCTGTGACCTCCGGGTGCTTCTGCCCTCGCATGCTCCCGCTGGGCCACACCGACGCTCAGGGGAAGTGAGGGTGTCAGATGGTGTCAGGGCCAGGTTCAAGGCACAGGACTTCTTGTAGCCCAAAACAGGCTTGCTTGTAGGAGGTCTTGGTGGTCGCTGCAGCATCCTCAACGCAAACTCTTGCACGTGCTGGCCGAGAACTGCGGACAAAAAGCGGGCGCTTGGATTCATAGCTCCGGCCGTCTCGGACGGACCTTCATGCTACATCCTCGTGATCTGTGTCATCGCAGCTGGTAGATGTGGGGCCCGACCCGGCCCGACGGCCGACAGGCTCTCGGCATGGCCGGGCAGCGTCCGACACGGGCTTGGCACGTGCCAGTGCTTGATTTTGGGAGTCATCGCCACTATCTCGATCAGCAATGACATTGGGGTGTGACAAGACTTTCGAGCTGCACGCAGCAGCGTCTGCAGCAGTGTCAAGACACCGCAAGAGGAGTCCCGCCAGCTTTTGAAGGACATGCGAAGGTGCTACGACAAAAACGCCGTGTCCTCCTGATCTAGGTTGTGGCAGAACTGGTAGCCTACCTGTCCTCTCATGCCGTTCCAATGGAGATGCCATGCCCCCGGCTAGGATGTGCAGAGGAGGAATGAAGGGATCGCTTCTCACCATTCACTTCTGTCCGACTGTCCACCTGCCACTGACCGCTTCTGTGGGATGTCCTTTTACTCTTGCGCGTCTTAGACGGCGATGGTCATGAAATCAAGGAGCCAATCACCATGGTTGCAGGAGCTGGGGGGCAAGCAAAGCACTGTGCTGGCAAGAGCACACATGCTAGTTTGCCAGTGATTGTCTTGGAGATCTGCATGACTGCAAATCTCAAGAGTCCGCCACAGTGACAGCCAACGCCAAGCTATGCCATGTTCAGCTGTAACCAGCGGCAGACAAGAAATAACTGGCACATCCACACGATCTGTGATGGTAGAGTCCTGGTAGAGCACACCTGTGACTGCCAAGCATCTAACATCCGAAGCATGTAGCAATGTAGCACATGCTGAGCAGCCTACAAGCACGAGCTCCAGATAACATCCAGCCTCTCGTCGGTTCGCGTACCTGTTCCTTGCTGGGTCGGTGCAGCTTTGTCTCCGCCTCGGCGACGTGATCAGTGTGTCAGAAGACCGGATCACAAAGCCTGCGAGGCTATGGGCAAGAACAAGGGCAGTTCCAAACAGAAGAAAGACAAGGTTCCGCGTCCGAGCCCAGGGCAGCTGCCGCTTGTGAAGCATGGCTGTGACCAGGCCCACAAGCGAAGCAAAGACAATGAGGCATGCGGAGTTCCATGGTTTCTCGAGGAGAATTCATAGTACAAGCAGGAGCAGCCCCAAGATCTGCGAAGCCACTCAAGCAGAACCAGCTTTAGGGCTTTAGGACAGAGATCTCTGCGAGGCGCTTGACGCAGAGATTGCCGGGCAGGCCAGGCGCTGGCGACTTTGGCCAAGCTGTGTGCCTCCAGCGCCAGCGCCAGGTCAAAGAAGTGGAAGAGCGGCTGCAGGCAGAAGGGCTTGAAGCGAGACTCAGCCAGAGAGCCGTTTCCGCAATTGCTTCAATTGCTCGCATGCCCGGCAAGGCGCTCACCGTCGAGATGAAGCAAGTAGAGGCACGAAGGGCTTTCTGTAAGCAGACACCCGATCCTCGATGAATCCTGCCACTCACGAAGAGTCCCATGGAACGGCGAGCTCAAAACGCGCCAGGGAAAGATCAAGCACTGCCTTTTGGAGGGCAAACGGGCTGAGTTGACTGAGAAGGCGCCCGAAGCTCTATATTTACGTTTGTTCGCGAGGCCGGAGGTGCGACGCGGCGCAAGATAGTTGAAGAATTTCTACTTTCCGGATTTGTGGGCATTGCAACGCTCGTGCAAGGAGCTGCAGCCTATGCCTGAAGAAATGAAGGTCTATAGACAGGCGGGTGAACTCATCCTCCACTCTGAACATGATTGAACACTGGTTTCTTGCATTCTAGGCATTGGCATAGCAGTAACGGCAAAGGATTCAGTCTTATATAGAAAAAATATATGTCGCCTCCTGCAGGTGGGCAAAATGTTCATTCTGCAGCCCAAGTCCGATCTAGCGAGGTCCAGGGCCTTGCTTTCGGTTGCCTGTCTGCCTGGGTTTGCATGGCTCGCAGCCGAGATGGCAAGGGAATCATGGGCACCGAAGCATCTGGAAGCACCGAAGCCGTCCTGCAAGTCAATCATCATCGAATTTGCCTCGCTTCCCGCGGCACCTCTTCTGCCATTTCCATTGCAGGTCCCTCAAAGCTCAGGCGGCACTCAAGACTGTGGAAAGCCAGACTTTGAAGCAGGCGATTTCATGTATTTGTTTTGTAAAGACGCCCTTGAAAAGCGCAGCTTCAAAGCCTTTTTCGTCTCAGGCCCTGAATAAGATTCAGGAGAAGGTCAAGAGCGAAGCTGGCGACTCAAAGAGTCAGAGTGACATACTGTAGGGCCGTAGGGGCATCAATAATTACCAATACTATTTATTGGGGGGTTCCTTGTTATAGTTATAGTAGAATGGGCCCCAAAACCCTATTCTAATTATTAAGCCCCCTATATTATTCACCCCTCCCCGAGCCCCCCTCACCCCTCTCCGCCTCCCGATGTACCCGCATTTCTGCCATGGTCAGCCCCTTCTGTGACAGCGGATGCTGTTTCTTGCCGCCCGACCCTGCCAGCTTTTTTGTTGTTTGTGCTTCAGCGCTACACTTGGTTTCTTCCCTGCGCTGGTATTACTAACCTTGTTCATGCTGCTTTGTAGGGTCGGCTGAAACCCTGAGACCTCTGAGCTTCGTCCCCGCTGCTGCTGCTGTTGGTATTTTGCTGCTGGTTCTGGTGCTGTTGCTCTTCTTGTCCTTCTTCCTCTTTTTACGAAAGCTGGGTCCCTGGGCCAAGCTGAGTTTCTTATCAACTGAAGGTTGCAACAAGGGGTGCGGGGAAAGGCTCTGTGCATTTTCGATGCCTGACTGCACCAGGAGCTGGATTTGGAAAGGGGCAAAACAACATTATGAGCTACCAAAGACTTCGACAGTTACGAAGATGGTCATGCGGACGCCACAACTGGAACATGTCTTCTGTATTCTGCTTTGACCCAGCTCCACCCGAGGCCAATGGACTGAAGGAGCTCATAGGCCCAGAGAGGACCGAGATTCGGCATGGGACCTGACGGCACCTTCAGGGGCATTTCGCATGGTATGTGGTTCAGGCATTAAGCCTTTTCGGCTTGAGGCGCGACAAGGATCAGGTGTTTTGAAATTGTTTCGGCGTGCAAGACCCAGACTGCCATCAAGAGGATGAAGCAGCTCTTCCAGTCTGGAGGCCTTGGTTCAGGGTCTAGCAGCCGAATCCTAGCGGCTTCTTGCTTCCACAAGGTTCGGCTCCCGCGGGAGGTTCCTGAAGCCTCGCGTGGCGTTTCCCTGTGTCCAGGCTCTGCCGGCGCTGCCGCCGAAGGCACCTCTAGTGATGTTCAAAAACCGGAGGTTGTTGCCCGTTGAGCTGAGACACCCTAGCTTGGACATTGGAGTCGTCGAGAAGAAGTATCCATCTGAAAAATCCTTCTTGAAAGCATAAAGGCCAAGAGCGATGTTGTGAATCGTGATAGCAACTCCACAGCTCACGTCACGATCCGGAAAGCAAGGACAGAGTAAAGCTAAGGTCAACGGGACTGCGTGGCTTCCTTGCCCTTCCCGCTCGTGGCGTATGTTGTTGACGTGTAACGTAGCCGACATGACCCAATCCGGTGAAAGCAAAACCGGGTTGTCGATAGTTTTTGGGCACAACTTAAGCACGGACTCGCAAGAGTTCGAGTTCTGAAGACTGTGCCAGTGCAGGCCCCGTTCCATCAGAGGATGCGATGATGCCACTCTTTGGAAAGGCAGAGTCCAAGCCGGACTCCAAGGCCTGGATGGCACCCAGGGCATCTCAAGTTGGTGGCATGAAGCAGAGTCCTTGAGAGGAGCGATAAGAGCAAGACTGTTCTCCACCCACAAAGTTGACCAAGTTCGGAAGACCCGGAAACCGTTCCCCCGTTTTTTTGGATGTACAACTGGCACAACGATGCCTCAACATGCCCCTGCGTGTCGTACGCCCTCTGAACGACGTTTGGGTCTTTCCAGAGCAGCTCGAACGCGGGCTGGCATCGGCGCAGAGATTGGACAGCCGGATGTGTCAGAGCTTGCGCATTGCCGACGTTGGGAGCAGGCACTTATCATTCAGCGGAGCTGCGGTGTGGCCGCAGCGATCACATGGAGAAAGATTATCTTATCTATGGGACAGGCTTGCCACGGCGGCTTTGCTTGGCGAGGCGCCGGTAGAACACGACATCTTCACTCGTGGAGTCTTGCTCACGAAGGCTTCCCTTCCCAGACTGAATCGGTGGCGGTGTAACCAAACAGACGCACAGAAGAAGACCCACAACGAAGAGCTGTGACAGACTGCGCAGCGAAAATCTTCAAGCTGACGAGCTGACCAAACAGACCAAACCTGTTCCGTGGAGGCCGAAACTTCAGACAACAAGACCAAGAACGGGACAGGACCGTCCTGATGCCCAGGCAGTGTTGCTCGATGGAGATGCCGCTTGAGTCCATGAAAGTATCTGTGAGCGGCTGTTTCAACTTTGAGCCCAGAGCTGGATGATGAGGAGCAGAAGACAAGGTGAGCGAGACGGAGAAGGTTGGGGGGGGACAGAGCCAGATGCTCGAAACATGCCTTGTGGACGATGTGTTTTGCGAAGCATGGCTGAAGTTTGACTGGACTCAAGCACTCTGCAGGCTCCTGCAACCGTGGAGGTGTGAGTCCGGGCTGGACCCCCAGCTTCTGATTCTGTTCTTTCACCCAATCCTGGGAGATTGACCAACTTGAGCAGAAACGATGTTGTGCCACGGCAGTCCAAGCTGCGACGAGATCTGCAAGCAAGGCGTCTCGGCCTGGCAGCGCCTGACAGCGAGACAGCCGTGCAAGTAGCTGGCGGTGCAGTTCCACAGCATTGCAAGATGCAACACCCAAGTCAGTGAGTAGCATCGTTAGGACATGGATCAGCTGACACAACTAGGCATAGGCAGAATGCTAGCAGTTGAGTAATTATGAATTCAATGCCTAAAGTGGAGGCTGGATGCATGGCGCGTGAAATAGAGTCTGAGGTCGCATTTCGGATCAGGAGCTAGTCCGCATACATTGACTCTTGCCATCAACTGCTCAGCATGTGCTCTCTGCAGTTTGGCTTCAAAGCCAGTCATCACAGCGGCAGGTCCTGTTTACTTCACATCTGGAGGCTCTGCACTCGCTATACGCATGAGGCACAATACCTCGCAATACCTCTACGCATCTCTACGTGTGCGCCCAGCTTGGGCTGCTGAGCACTCTTTTTAAAAGGTTTCAATTAACGGATGGTGAAACAGATTCAAGATCTGCGTGTCGGTAGCTGGCACTTGCCCTAGCTTCGCTCCTATGGCGGAGCAAGGCCAAATTGCAGGCGGCGAACATGGAGTCAAAGGGCAGATGCGATAGCAGGTGCAAACCTGGGGCTTGCCGCGCTCAGCGTGGCCTTCCTCTTTGGCATCCTTGGACTGCCAGGAACCCGACACAGGGGCCGCTACATTTCTGCCTTCTTGAGAAGTTGTCAAGGTTTGCCTTTTTTGCTCTGCGCGCGAAAACCGCTGCCGAAGAGGCCAGCATGCTCGCATCTCCTCCGACCGAGAGCTTCGAGTGATCTGCATGCAGGAGGAAAAGCAGGAAAAGCAGCAACTCGGGACTCACAGCAGTCGCGTCGCGGTAAGATTTGAGATCCGGCCTGGCCGGTTTATCTACAGTGACGGCGTTGGATAAGAAACTCCTGTATCCGAGGCAGGGTACCCTGAATTTCTTATTTAGATAGCTTGGTTGTGACAGATTCTAGCACATGTTCGCCCAAATCCAGGGGCTGGATTTCTTATTCAATGTTTTCTTATTCAGTGCTGGCGCTGTAGTCTCAAATCTCTCTCCTTACCTTCTACAATCCGAGTCAGCTGAGCCTGTTTAGAGCATTTCCACAGAGCAGTTCAGGCCTGTGCCGGTCAGTCGAGGGAACGAAAAACCTTGTTCCTTGCCAAGGCAAGCTGCCGGAGGTCAGAGGCCTCTCTGTCAGGGCTTGAACGTCTCGGCAATGCGAACCGACCTCTTGGGCCTTCCGCTGCCGGGAGGCGACGTGGTGCGTTGGATCGCATGCAGCGCGGTACCTTGCTCGGAGAGACGCAGCCCGCATGCTGCCATTGTATTCAGAAGATCTCCGACGACCCATTCCAGGCCCGGCAACTGCCGGCACTGCGGCTACGACTTACCGATAGCATGCGCATGCACTGCGAGAAGTAGCCTTTCCTGCTAACAATTGGCATTCACTGCTGAACGGCAAAAGGGGTTGGCTTGCGAAGCGCAGAAGAAGCTCCTGACTCCTTGCGAGAAAGCAATGATTGGAGTCGCAGACATGAAACGAGCTGAGATCTGAAAGCGCACAGCCTTGGCCTTGTCAATCGCTTTGGCAAGACGCGGCCTCCCTGGGCTGAGGTGCGGCACGTGCTGCCGGCGGTGGAGAAGCCGACGAAGCAGAGGGCTTGGATGAGGGGTCGTGTCTCATTGTGCCACTGCCAGTCAAATCTGAGGATGAGCCGGAGAATCAGGCCGGCAACAAGAAAGCGAATGCCGCCAAAGAGCAAAAGAAGCAGGTGCCCCGAGCATCCCCGAGCGTGACGGCTCCGCATGAATGCAACGAGTAAGTCCTTAACTTCCAATCTGCTGTGGAATCCGAGACGACAGTCACCTGCAGCACAGGAGAGAAGAGCACAGCAGCAAGCAGAAAGAGAGGCCACGAAGTTGGCATGCATGCTGGTAATTCGTCCGGCTTTGATTTTGGATTGCGGATTTCCTGAGGCCTATCAGCAGAAGCAGGACAAGAAAGACAAGTGCTCTGCGAAAAAAAGGCTCGAGTTCTCTAAAGAGGATCCCATATCATCAGCTCCAGGTATGCGCAGAAGCAGCAGGCCCGTGAGGCAGAGCGGTTGCGGCGAGATGCGGAGGACGAGCAGGATCGGACGTAAGTTTCGTTAGAGGACGCTGGTCCCAGGTCTGCATCGTCCTGGTCATGTGCAGGCCAGGAAAGAAAAGGAGAAACGGGAGAAGGAAGAACTGGACAAGCAAGGCTCCAAGTGCTGCTGGCGCTGCAACCTATGGTAAAAGCAGCGTCATCGTCCAGCTTTTCAACAAGAAAGTACCCACGCACGTGTATGTAAGGTTATGCATGTATATATGTACACTTCGGTTTTATGTATGTGTGTATGTACGTGGTAACCACCCCCCCTCCCAAGACCTGCCTCGAGGCATCTTCTCCTTAAACCTACACTTACAAACCTGTGCATGCCGTATTTACAACTACATGAACGACGTGCATTTTACAGTGCAATTCAGTAGATATTTCGCTACAGACATGAGCATGCACATGTTATTACAGCGTACACAGACCACCAACCAATCAAACAAGCATCGGGCACATTTTGATTTTCTGCTTCGAACTTTGATCAGTGTTGATTTCACGGAAAAATCAGTCATCTTCAATGTTCAATGCACAGAACAATTCCTCCACCACCTCTCCGCCGCATGAGACGGCGAGACCGACTAGCTCTTCGTGGACGCCGACAGCCCTGTTGAGGGGTAGCACAGTCTACCGTGCAGATCAGAAGGACAAGACCTGCCAGACCGAAGCATGGTTGATTCCTTCCCCGAGGCCGTTGAATGAGTACGTTGATCGTGAAGTACCAGTTTCGACTGCAGAGCCGGATGGTTGCACGAGGCCGCCGTGGGTCTCAGAGAGCCTCGAGCCTTTCCATACGCTGGACTACTGTTGGGGTCTTCGGAATGTTAGCAGCCGGAGACTTACCTTCCGCACGCTGTGCAGCGACAACTTCGGCAGGAACAAATACCCGGATAGAGCCACTGGGAAAGCTATCCATTTAATGTTGAACTGTTTTTGAGTGTTTTTGAAAATTTCATGGAAAACGTTTCCAAGAATCTCCCATGTTCAATGCATGAAAACTTCAGTGTTGAGTTGGTTTTAGGCTTTTGTGCTTTGAACACTGAACATCGAAGATTTGCCGAGCACCTGATGAAGGAATCTTCAATGTTATAGAATACTTCCGCCAAAAGGCTTTTGCCAGTCACACGACTCTTGTTTCCCTTGTAGGGTACCCGTACATACACACACACACACATGCTGCCCAAGCCGTGTGTCAAGATGATCAGCTCCGACACAATCCGCATAAACGTCTTGCACACAGGGGCATGCCATTCTGAGACGAAGCAACCTGCCACAGCTGGCTCGTGTTTCTACTTGTGCTGCCAACTAAAGAATCGAACACAAGAAGGTTTACTCGCAGATTTCCTGAGCGGATTGGTAACTGAGGTGGAAGGAGATGTTTGCGGTGGAGTATGAGGGCGAGGACTGCACACGACGCTCAAAGCATGTTACAGGGTCTGCAGGCGTGGATCATTCGAAGGCATGTGATGCAGAAATAGATTCTACAGCCTAGCAGGATGACGCTGCCACAGCTGGAGAGTCAGCCGCGGGCTCACCGTAAGTTCGGAATTCAACAGAACCTGGCCTTGCATGACCCACATTTTGTCTTGACATGTCCTGACTCCTGCAGCACATGCCCCGCGCGCATGGGCGAGTCAGGGGAGATTTGGTTGTCTGGAGCTTGCATGTCGGCCAAGATGTTCCCGCACTGCTTCACCAGTTCAAAGCTTTGTAGGTCGACGGCGTGCCGCGGTGCACTTCAAGTCTTGCCGATTGCTAGCCCGAGTCATGTTTCGAAGCACGGCAAGCGTTTTCGCCCGCTTCTAACTACCCTGTCGGTCTAGAGAGGAGTCCGCCTCTTCGTAAGCCCTCGGCTGGGCCAACCCCGACGTCCCTGCCCGTCCACTGGGGAGTGCGCCGTCCACGGTAATGCAGTTCTTGTCTGGATGGCGATCTGGTATGTTTGAAGCCTAAGAGCGAGCCTGCTGGAAAAAGCAACAGCACGTGAAGGTTTCGTTTCTCTCGCTCGAATCGCGCTCACAAGGAGGGTGCGTAAGTTTCGTCACCTTGCCGCATGTTTTAAATCCACACCGAGCCTGAGTGTACATTAGCTATGGATTTCACCGGTTCCGCTGAAGTAGATGAGCACTGCGCCAAACTTTGCAAAAAGGCCTGCCATGCATGGAAATCACACGGCACAGGTATTCCAAGCACTCCGTGCACAACAGAGGAATGAGCATCAACAAGTGATAGACCTGTACCCAAAAAACTAGAGAACTCCTACGACTTGGCACCAAGGCGTTGGAGCAGTGCCCTTGCCGCAATACGGTCTCGACTTGGCTTCGGCCGCGCAATTCACGTGGAGCTGTCATTGTTCATGCATTGTCAAGACCGCGGCTCAGATGGGAAGTTGTGAGAATCATTATGGATGGTGCTTGCCCAGGTTTATTGAGTATGTCAAGCTTCGAAAAGTGGTGAATCTGGAGGCCTCGGCATCCCTCAGTTCCTGGGGTCGAGCTTCGGCATCCTCGGGTTTGGCACAGTCTCGTCCAGGACCTGGCTGCCGAATTCCGCATGAGAACTGTTACAGCCATCAACCGGCGACTTGGCCAAAGCTGGTTGCAGCGTCTCACTCGGAGAGGGTCTTCGAATGTCAGCCCAGGCTCGAAGAGCTTGAAAAGATGGGTGCGATCCCCGGGAAATCCCGGAAAAAGAATGCAGGAATCCAAACCATCGGCAACGACACCGAGACAGGGGGCAAATCCAGCGCCGGAGGCAGTTACAGAACTGGTGATTGAACCCCATGAATCTGGCATTGAGGAGAGAGCCCATGAGAGAAAGACCCTGTCCCTAAGTCAGTCCAAACGTGAGGAGTTTGGTAATTTTAGGTGTCTCTGCGTGGATGAACTTGAGAACCTTGAGGTCGATTAAGTGGAATTTTCGACGACCGCGGCAAGTACATCTACATCACAGCAGAGGCAGTATTGCAAACACTGCGGGGCCTCTCATGCTTAAGTGGACTGTCCGGCGAACCGTCTCGCAAAAAGAACACCTGTGGACAGGTCGCTGCAGCTAGGTCATTCTTCCTACGACGCCAGCTTTTTAACAGTGTCCTGCTGCTGATTGCAGGGCGCCATGAGGATCGAGCGGTAGACTGTGCGATTCGGCCTGGATCGCAGGAAATGGGTGAAGTTGCAGCCTGGCTCAAGCGCAAGGGCCGCGTAAACCGCGCAGTGCCTGGGCCACGTGTTTTGTGACTCCTTCCTTGGCTTTTGGGTCAGGGACTGGCTTCTCGGAAGGCATTGACTTGCCAGGAGTTGGTCGCCGGCTGTAACAAGCTCATCCGACTGGATCCCACGGCAGAGGACAAGGTGGGTCAACAAATCTTTTGAATTTTGCTATTCATCAGTTTAAGTCTTGCAAGACTCGATGTTTGTTGTTCGTGCAAAGGCGAAGCTCGAAGCAGAGGTGAGGACGGCAGAAGAGAAGCTGGAAGGCCAAAGGGTTCGGCTACCTTGCGGGGTCGGAATCGCAACGGACGGCCTTGAATATCTGGCTCAGCTTCTCGTCCCTCCGCACAATTGGAATCGACGGCGAAGTTGCGTTTGACACCGAGCATCCCGTCCCCGTCAGGCGCCGATGAAGGGGCTCAGTGACGTGAAGAAAATGAGTGCGCTGAGCGGGATTGTTGAACAGCTTGGGTTTCAAAGGCGAAAGGTGAGGGGTTCCTGTGGTCATTGCTGTAACCTGATCCCTGCCTCAGTGGAGCAATGTCTCAGAGAGGTGCCGCCCTTGGAGTGCTCTAAAGCTCCGCTGCCATCCGCCCCTTTGTGCTCAGAGTTTCGGGGAAACACCGCCAGCCGCCCAAGAATAACTCTGGCTCTTGCCTGAGATGCACATCCTGTCAGATCGCAGATCGCCTCCGCAGCTCATGCACCCCTGACATGCTCCGAGGCCTCTAAGATGATGTACAGGCCCGCCGAGACCGTCAAGCCTCCGTCACGGAGTGCCGGAGACAGCTTGAAAATGTCTTGATGGGCAGCTGTGCAGTGAAGTCACGAAGCGCAGGGCCCAGCCAGCCGCCATGAACGCCGCTTTGCGACGACGTCGCCCTTCGTGGCAAAGAGCTCGGAGTGGGATTGAATGCTATGAGCCTGATCCACTACTGGAGTGTGCCCGAGGTTGGCCGCAGTGGTCGCAGCCGTGCTGCTAAGCAGTTGGCAAGGTTGCGTGAATGGAGCTATTTGCTCTGGTATAGACAGAAGACCAACCCGAGTACGTAGTCCGCAGACTTCGCCGTCAGAGACCTCACACTCGCTGCTGCGACGTCTGGCACGAAGGTTTCTCTTTCCTCGGCTCAATGCCCACGGGACAGCAGGCACAGGCAGGGCACAAGCAGCAGGGGAGTTGTTCACTGGCGTTCACACCAGGCGCACAAGACGGCTCGGCAAGCCTCCGTGGTTGACAGCCTCAAGAACCCGGCCTGGGCCCGTGTGCTTGCCGGCTGGATCCTGCTGTTGAATAACGTGGAACTACGTGGAAGCAGGTCAAGACAGTGTCCGAGACTATTGACGAGTTCTACAAGGCGGCTTGTTGGCAGTACCGTGGGGAGAAATCAGCAACCAGGACGTATCAGGTGGAATGCAGAGCACGGTGTTTTGCTGGAGCCTTTCCCTGGTCACAGGGATACCCGAAGCCGCCGGTGCTCCCGATGAGCCCTGGCTGCATCAGCGTGTTGAAGCGGGGAATGCGCAGTAGCACATAAAAGCCATTGATGGCTTTGACCTGCTGAGGTACAGGAGTTTCCTGGTTGATTTCATCACTCAAGTGGCCCCGCCCTCTGTATGGAAGACACAGAGACACACTCACACAGACATACAGACACAGAGGCACCCACCGTACCGCACCGCACCACCACCACACCATACCCCCCACACACGCACGCACATGCACGCGGACAGGCAGGCGGGCAGGCAGGCAGGCCGGCAGGCAGACAGAGACAGACAGACAGACACACGGACAGACAGACAGACAGACACTGGCTGTCCGTCGGCTGGAGAGCAGGGAGAAGCCTTGCAGCGCCTTCTTTCCATGCAGATCACAAGAACATTCAGAATGTCATATTTTTGTTTCCTGAACCCTTCCCCATTCTCGCTGATACTGTCAGCACCTGACCATGGTGGACTCCCGATTCAAGTACGACGCAATCTTTGGACTTGGGATGAGGCCTTCTCGTGCTGGAGTTCCTGCCGCGTTTGAGTGCGTTCATGCGACTGGCACCCTGGTGTGCTGTGAGCTTGGAGGCACTTCTACTCCGGGCTTATGGGCAACTACGACAAGCTTGTCATGAGTTCGAGCCTTCCGGTAAACCGGCAAGCGAGTCCGGAGCAGCTGGGATGGTGCGCCCAGGCGAGGAGTCAGAGAAGATTTGGAAGGCCTTGAACACCGCCATGGGAATGAAGCCGGACCAGGTGGCCCGGTCGTGGTAGCAAGAACGCAGAGACTTCACAACCCGCGAGAGGTCACTGCCGACGCAGAAGCTGTTGCCAAGTATGCCAGCCGCGGCCACAGCAGGTGTATTCCGTTATGTCATGGGAGCTTCAACCTAAGTCATATTCTTAGGCTCGACTTCGCCAGCTGAAATCCTGCAGCACATGGAGGCTGTCCCACACACTGCTGATTTCAGCCCCAGTCTGACAAGCGTACGCCGGGCCAACCCTCGCCCGAGATGCCTGCTGGCCAGAAAATGTGCTAGGGCACGGCCAAGCCTTCCGATGCCAAGATCGGCACTGCTTTCGAGCAGATCCAGCCAGTGCCCTGTGGCCTGCGGCGCTAAGCGATGTAGTTCGTAGATACTGCAATTCTGGCCTGCAGAGGTCTTCGCTCTACAGCATGACCTACAGCATTGGCTTGTTCCGCATCATGGAGCTGAGCTGCAGCCTTCGACCGCGGACTGTCTTTGGGTGATGCTTCCGGGTAGAATGGGTCCAAGGTGGCGTGGAGGTCAACAAGGCCAATGCAGAGGAGTGGGCAAAGGCCCTGAAGATTGAGCCTGCGTCGTGGGCACAGCACGTCGTTTTGTCAGTACACATCGGCGAGATGCCAAGCCGATCAAACAATAAGGTCCAAGGTCACTTCTGACCTTGAAACATACAAGTCATGCCGGCCAGATTACAGATGCAAGCGTCACGCACGGACCGAAGAGCCCAATTACGACGTCCACCCTCAGCTTGAAAGCAGAAAAAAGCAGCGGCCAGGCAGAATCAGGTGAAACTCCAGAAGGCCGAGGAAATGATTCGAGAGGCGCGGCTTCTGAAAGCTTGTTCCCTTCATGCCATCCATGAAGCTGTCGATTGGGGATTTTACCAGCCCCTGATGGTAGCTCATTAGTGCCACGCGCCGAGATTGAGATCCGGGAGAAGAAGAAGCTGGCCGAGAAGTGCTGGCTTTAGTGCCTGTTCGATGTGACCCTCTGGGACTATTTTTGTTGGAATAGGTGTTGCAAGCGTGTTATTTATATGTGCAGACGTTTCCACTGAGCGGGTCTCCTTCGCTGTGGTAACTTGCAGGCAGTCGTTGCTGAGGCTGGAGCAGAAGGCGAAAGCGCTGGCAGAGAAGGCGGCCGCGAAGAAGTCGGGTGGCGAGGACATAATTAATCACGCAGACTGCTTCTCGATGAAGACTCACGAAGACTCCGCAGTAACTTCAGCTGCTATTATGTTCAAGGCCTCAAATTGAATAGTAGGAACTGTCGGTGAAGCCTGAACAGAGCCTACCATGCTTTCATGAATCACGAAAGCGATCTCTTCCCGAGCTCGCGAGAGGAGTCATCCCTGCCCCGCCATGGCCTGATTTCTCCGGCATAGACCAACCACTTGAAACCCTTGTGTGAAGAAGAAATGGGCAGGGAGTTCAGTGAAAAGTTGTGTGTGTGACAGAGTTTCATTCCCATGAGTACAGCTCGGGCACCACTAAGACATGTTACGGAACTGTCAGGGTTCGGATGTGCAGCTTGATCCCGCCAGTAGCCACGAGCCAAATGCCTCCTCATCCCTTCTAGATTCTATAGACTTGGGCTCTCCACCTCTCGAGTTGCAGATGGCCGTGGTCGCGCAGGAGTCCACTTGAAGCTGCTCTGGAACATAGCACCGGCCAGCGACGAGTTGTGGGGTGGATGCGCTATGTTTGCCGTAGCCGGAAGCGGCCGTAGCTGTCAACGGGTGTGGGGACCGGTGTAGCTTTGTCTAGGCGGATTCAAGGTTGCAGCACAGCAGACCACAGCAGGGAGAGGAAGACTGAGCGAATCACGCCCTAGCTTTTGCCACAGCTGTTGTGTCGGTGTTTTTGTTGGGCAAGCCATGCAGTGTAGCGAGACGACGCCAGGGTGGGGTTTCCACGAAGTTGATGTAGGAATCTACAACGGCTGTGGCAATCAGAAAATCGGAATTCTGGATTATGATAAAGACCCATTTTCGCATGGCATATGCCTGCTTTCTTGAAACGCAGGTTCTTGTGTTTCTTCCACGTGGGCCAGTAGTATTTCAAACGTGGCCCGGAAGATGACACCTGCGTCTTTTTCACGGAGTCGGTAGTCCACTGTTCAGGCTTTGAGGCCAGGCGAAACTGGTCGCCTGGGGCGGCTTTGGACAACGAGTAGTACAGAATTGAGCAAGAATGCCGCCTTACGCAATTTCAATCATGACACGTAGCTCGTACTGTCAAGACAATCGGATAATCATGTTTGGCAGTCCAGCACCTTGTGTCATTGCTGCCCACTTTTTCGGGGTGCGGTCAACTTGACCCAGACTGTGAGGCAAACGATGCCCCGGTAGCACAGACGCCTGCAAACTCGCATGCATGGACTCGAAAACTTGTGTATTTGCAGCACCGGCAACTACCGACCCAATACTGCAGCATGAGTGACGTGTAGGGGTGCGGGCGTGGTAGTCGGTTCGTGCAGCTTTCGGACCCGTGGCTTCTGAGCTCATCAGCTCGGTTTAGGCTCAGAGCGCTTCCGCTTAGAGTGACACAGCTGCCAGAGCTAGCGAGGCAAGTCCGCAGGCGGCGTGCCGGGGTCGCTGCCGGAAATTAACTGGAGCTCGGGGTCCTTGCTATACCACGCGATCAGGAGTTTGCGGCAGATGGCTGCGATGGCCACCACAGCAGTGGTTGGCCGCCTCGTCAGCATTTCTGGGACAGAAGCCGATGAGGTCCTTCTGTTAGCATGCTTTAGCCCAAGGTGGGAGCGTGCGCCACTCAGATTTTGCCACAAAGCAGCGATCCATCAAGAATCTGGATCAGAATCGTCGGTAAAGCTCGCGGTTACTTCCACCAAGGAGGCAGCAGAAGGGTACACGGTGATCTCTCAAGAGGAATCTGGGAGCCACTGCCGACATACCAGCCACAGTCCAAACGGGGATGTCCAAGTAATGATGCAAGCGGATGCACTTACTTCACCAACTTCAGGATTCAATCATGGTGAAGTCAGATACCGTATGTAGTTCTTTGATGATATTGCCAGAAGCGAATCCAGGAGTACGCTCAGCTTATGGCTGGCACAGCTCCGGCGCGGCCCCTAGCCGGCCCTAGCCCAGCCGCAACCAACTCACAGTCTGCAAAGAAGCGAGGAGGGCACTAAGTGCTTGTCTGCAAGGTTTCATGCAGTCTTCCTCAGACATGCTCGGCAGGCTGCGACGACTGGAACGGTGACAACATCGGTTCCGATCACAGCCTATCCCTACACCAGCACAAACGCCTACACGAGCCTCGGCCTCACATACTCCAAGTGTTTGGGACGAAGGCTCCCCTTGATCCCACCCCGGTCCGTTGCACTAATTAGAGCAGTCTTGTGAGTGGTAAGACTCTTTGGGGCAACTGAGGACGGTCACAACAAGCTACCCGAATTACCCCATCACGAGCAGTCCGGCTGTCCAATACGCAGCCTCTCCTCTTCCAGCGTCCTACACGGCTCAGAACTCAGCCAAGACGTAGCTGCAGGTCATCAGGGGCAAGTTACAAGAGAAAATCTTCCTGGCATGTAATGAACTGACCAGAGTGCTGGTCATGCCAGGTCATGCCAGGTCCAGGTCAGCAATCGCTCGTAGAATTCTTCCGTGGCTATCTGCATCTCCAGGTTCCGCAGAAACAGGAAAGAGACAGAAGTATTGGGGATGGTGTAGACTCGGGCAGACTCCATGGTGCATTGTCGAGGGCCCCAGTATGGACTTTCGTGGCATTTCACACGAGGAGGCGCCTAGGACCGCTTATCGACTCTGGGCAATTCCTGAGCGCGATGGCGGGGCTTCCCCATGCCTTCCTTAATGCCACGAAAGAAGATGAAAAAGAAAGAAAGAAAGAGAGAGCGAGAGTAGCCAATAGTGAGGCCGTGTAAAGGCCACCAAAAGGCATGTTTGTGTGGATTGCAGTCCGAATCGAGAACCAGGCCTTTCACACCGCACCAAGACCCAAGAACAGATCTCCAAAACGACCCCACCTGTCACCAACTACATGCAGTCACCAAGATGCTTTGTGTCCCGAGAACGTGGCTTTCATTGTCAGGAAATCAGGGGGACCTGAACCTGAGATGGGGGCCACCAGCAACCGTTAGCTTGGTACAGCAGCATAAACACACAGTCCTCGCCGATGTCCAGCCATGCCTCCCCACCTGCAGCCGAGCCGTCGGCCAAGGAGACGCAGAGCTGCACATTCTTTGAGGCATCTTTTCATTGAAGCTACTTGGTTTGCATGGTCTTGGCAGGAGGTTCGAGCAAGGGGGCGACGTCAAGCGCTCCTGCATCCTGAGGCATGGCTTCTAACTTCCGCGCTGACATGTTCTTGCATATTCCAGCGATCCTGATCCTGACGCTTGTGCTTGACATGTTGACCTGGTCAGGAAGAGGAGGCCACTTTGGAGCTTTTGCGGCAGCAAGGCATGCTGGAAGTGTCCTGGCCAGCACTCCGAGTCGGATCAGCCCAGTCTCGCCTTTTACGGTTGTTGACTTGCTATTGCTTGCTAAGGGCTTGGGGTTGCCACCCCACTACGGCGTATTTGGGTGGAGGGCTTGCCACCAACAGGCTTGGGTTTGCCACCCGCTAATGCCTGTTAGAGTGGAGGGCTTGCCACCAACAGGCTTCCCCCTTTTCCGGCTTAGATTCTCGTTATGAGTCGTTGGTCGTTTAATATGGCTTGCCTGGCTTCTTCTTCTTCTTCTTTTAAACACGTTTTTTCTGCTCTAATCACCGCCCCAACATCGCCTTGTAGGGTTGAAGGCTTGCTACCAATTACGGGCTTCCCCTTTTTTAGGGTTTAGGACTTGCTCCTGAACTGTCCTTTAAGGGCTTTTAGCCTTCAGGGTGTTTAGGGTTTGTCACCCAACATCGACTTTTAGCGTTGACGGCTTGCCACCAACAGGTCCCCCTTATACGGCTTAGGGTCCCATTATGGGTCGTTGGTCTGAGGCCTAGGGGCTTGTCCCAACCTCGCCTTTTAGGGTTTAGGGCTTGGGCTTGCCACCGAACATCGCTTTTTAGGGTTCTGGGCTTGGCTTGGCACGAAACGTGTCCTGTCACGGCTGGGGGTTTGTCTTAACCTCCGTTACGACCCTTTAGGGTCTGGCTTTGCCACCCAACTTCGACTCTTAAGGTTCTGGGTTTGCCACCAACAGGCTTCACCTTTTTCTGGGTCAGGCTATGCCAGATCAGATCAGGCCGGATCAGATCAGGTTACATGACACCTCCCTGCTAGCGTCCTTCCCTCCTCAAGCTCCTGTGGCTGGGCTTCCCCCTTTTAGGGCTTAGGGCTTGCTCCTGAACATGTCCTTTGAAGGCTTTTAGCCTTCAGTGTGTTTAGGGTTTGTCGCCCAACATCGGCTTTTAGCGCTGACGGCTTGCCACCAACAGGCTCCCTTATACGGCTTAGGGTCTGAGTATGGGTCGTTGGTCTGGCACGAAACATGTCCTGGCAGGCCTAAGGGTTTGTCCCAACCTCGCCTTTTAGGGTTTAGGGTTTGGGTGTGCCACCGAACATAACTTTATAGGGTTCTGGGCTTGGTACGAAACGTGTCCTGTCACGGCTGGGGTTTGTGTTAACCTCCGTTACGACGATTTAGGGCTTGGCTTTGCCACCCAACTTCGACTGTTAAGGTTCTCGGTTTGCCACCTTTTTCTGGCTCAGGCTATGCCAGATCAGATCAGGTCAGATCAGATCAGGTTGCATGCAACCTCCCTGCTAGTCCTTCCCTCCTCAGGCTCCTGTGGCTTGTGCTGTCGAGCCACAGGCGGAGTTAGCGTGCGTGCGAGGCTCCTCCTAAACCCTGAACCCGAAACCCTATTCTGATTGTACACTATGGCCATATGAGTGCAGATTTTCAGGTCTTTGGTAGGGACACTGAAAGTGTGGAGACTGCCCAGCATAGCTGCTCCCCTCAGCCCTAAACGCCCAAGCTTGCAGCCTGCGACACTTCATGCGAACTTGCTGCCGAAACATGTCCTGTGAGGGATGGGGGCTTGTTTTAACTTCCCCTGCTACGGTTTAGGGCTTGGGTTGGCCACCCATCTTCGATTTTTAGGGTTCAGGGCTTGCTACGAACAGGCTTCACCATTTTCTGGGTCAGGTTATGCCAGATCAGATCAAGTCAGAACAGATCAGAATAGATCGGTTCAGAAGCCGACATGTGAAGCCTTTGTTGAGCTTTGGAGAAACAACTACTGTATTGGGTTCAGAGCTTCCTACCGTATTCAAGGCCTTACAAAGGGAATGCTTTGTCATTTGTGTTGCAGTATACAGGGTGGTTCAGATCAGATCGTGATTAAAAACATCCTTGCTTCCGCAACCAGCACCCGGCCTGCAGCCTGCGCCCGCCGACGGGTTTTTTCTTTTCCTTCCAATCAGTCATACTTACGGATTACATCAAACCAGATCATTTTGGTTCTTGAGGGGTCATGTGAACAGTGCTTGTTAAGATTCCATGAGCACTGCAGCGACTGTTGCACTCTGTTGTTTGATCGGTTGCTTGAAATATTGCTTTCCTGCGCCGTTTCAATTTTTCTCCACTGCAGGAGGCTGGCATTCCGGGATCAGCAGCCGTGCAGGTTGGGTGGACACATTGCGTGAGAACAGATCAGATCAGATCCTATCCTATCAAGTCACGGACGGCACTTGACTGCAAGGAGGTGTGACTTTAGGACAAGACGTTGCTTTAATCATTGACTGTTGAAGTTGCTTCAAACTGCACGCATGTTGCCAGTCCCACCAAGTGCTTACCTGGTGTAGGTCCCTTTTGCGCACTGAAACATTCTACTAAAATGCCGGTGGCAAGCTGCGTATGCCTCCGCTGCTTTCCGCGCCTTCCTGGCAATAATGCTTTCCGATAAGTCGGGTCAGATCGGTTTGGCTCATGAGGTTATCCATAGGAACCGGGCGGGTTCCGATCAGATCAAAGTGTTTGTGGTTCTGTTTGCCGCTTCTGCAGGAGGAGCCGTTCGGCCCACTGGCACCGCTGGAATCGTTGCCAGTAACACCCTCGGGACTTCTCGCTGCGCGGACACTTTACACTTTTCCACGAAGTGGCGACAGTCCCTGTTAGCTGCAACACTTGCGGAAGCTTTCGTTGCGAAGGCCTTAGCGTCAGCTTCAGGGGTTCCAGAAAGTCCACGAAATGGCGACAGTCCTGTTCACCCGCAGAAAACCTCCAGGCTTCGCGCTCAGGTCTGATCTGATCGGATCAGGTCAGCATAGATTGCGTCTTCACCCGCTTAGAGCTCAAAGGCTGCCACGAAACACGTCGACTCAGAACGAGTCAGATGAGATCAGATAATTGATATAAATCTGAACTCGCTTTGCAATGCTTGCCGGCCGCTTCTGAAGCTCTTCTGGCTTTTGAACAGCAGCATAGTAGACTGGGACTGGGTGTGAAGTGATTGGTTTTTCCATGTTCCAGCCAGGTCAAGAAGAACTGCGTGAGTTGCGTGCTGCAACAGCTCATGCGTGTGTTTTCTTTTTGGCTTGGAAGCTTCTGGCTGGCGATGGTGTTAAGGGCATTCCACGAGATGTGCTGGCATTAGACATGCTCGACGCGGACCAGCTCTGGCGTTGCATCCGGCTGATGTCTTGTGGCGAAACATTGAGTCTCGGCCAACATGACCTGGCGGTGGAGAGCTTGGCCAAACACAAAGTGTTCTTCTTCAACAGGTTTCAGCAGCTTCTACATGAAATCAATCATGGACCGCGGCTGCTGGAACATGTCCACTCCATGACCCAGGCAGCAGAGGACCTCTTGCAGCACTTGGATAACACGCCACAGATGTCCACGCAGGGCAAATCGCAGATCCAGGCAGCAGAGGATCTCGCACGGGGTTTGGACAACGGGTCACAGATGTTTGCGTCGGAGATGCAGGAGCAATCGCAGATGTCTTCTCGCTCGGATGAGGTTGACGAGAGCCCCCCATATTCTGCTGAAGATGAGTATATGTAGCCAATGGATGCTTGCATTCTGTCTTTATTACCGGCGCTTGCCTCTCTGATGGCTTGGGGTTGTAAAACAGAAGGCGTATCGCAAACTGTTGCGTCTAGATACCGACTTTGCTCCGAATCGTTGAGCCAGCAGAGAACCTTGCAAGAGCCTTGACAAACAAACGAGAATGCGCGTAATGACAATGACCCCGGACGGTTCGACCTTTTACTGATTGGGCAAAAAGGCCCTTGTGGCTTCCAAACATGAAGTTGGACTGCTGATGTTTCCGAGAGGTTCGACATCCTGCATCCTAGGGCGCGCATGAGACATAACCTTCTCCTTGCGTCATCTTAATATATATATATATACTGACTGACTGAATTCTTGAAGTCTGTTTACTGTGCTTCTGCAAGGTTTCCACTAGTTGCCTGGAGCCTGTTGGGCAGGAGCTGCAGGCCTGCAGTATTGGCTGTTTGCGCACCTCCCAGTGTTCCTACATTTGTTGGGCTATGTTGGGTCGAGCTGCCACGATTCCTTGCCTGTGTTTCGACGCAGTGGCGCCCGGATCTCCCTCGCAGTCTAGGTCGCTTGCTGCCCGTGGCTCGTGCTTGTGTCAGGTGCCGGGCCTGTCTGGGCCTCTGGCGGTGGAGGCCCGGTTCCTGCTAATCCTTGGGGGCCCTGTGCTAGCTCTGCGTGGATTTCACTATAGTTGCCTGGAGCCTGTTGGGCAGGAGCTGCAGGCCTGCAGTTTTGGCTGTTTGCGCACCTACATTTGTTGGGCTATGTTGGGTCCGAGATGCCACGATTCCTTGCCTGTGTTTCGACGCAGTGGCGCCTGGATCTCCTTTTCAGCCACTGACGAAACCTAGACATCAGATCAGGTCAGGTCAGATGGGGCTCAGGTAGCCTAGGTCGTTTGCTGCCCGTGGCCCGTTCTTGCGTCAGGTTCTGGGGGTGTCTGTGCCTTTGGCGGCGGAGGCCCGGTTCCAGATGCGCCCCGTGCTAGCTCTGCATGGAATAACATCATTTTTGTGTGAGGTTCGACAGAGGAGCAGATCTTTCGGAAACCGTGAGGCGAAGAAGAGGAGACAACCGGTCCAAAGCATTCGGTTCGTAGAGTAAACAGTTCCCCTTCTCGGTTTCGAACCTGACGTATTCGGAGTTGTTCCCCACTCTTCCCCTCCCTGCGGTACAAGCTGCAACTTCTTGTGCAAATCGCATGGCCGACCCATAGCGACCCGATGCTTACAGCATCCTTCCCCCCCAGTGTGGGGTTTGTGGTAGAATGGCCCTGCATGTCATGCCCCAGCTTCGGAGACGCTCTGCTAAGCGGCACTGTTCCCCCCCACGGCGTGCTAGTTTTCGATGCCGGGCGGCCTTTTGGGCCGCTGACGTTAATTTTGGTCACGTGCGCCTTCTCCGACGCGACAGCTCGCAACCAGGATTGTACGTTTGTCTTCAGATCATCGTGGGAAATTGCATGCAAAGCCAGAGGAAAAGATTTGCTGTCTCTCCGCTCCCATTCGTGCACTTTGGGCATACTAGACTGCTAGACCACACCAGCACGGAAGCCTGACATAGAAACTACAGGGTGTCAGTCAGAAGCATAAGCCGGCCTCACCTGATGTCTGAACTCATCTAACGTGATCGGACCCGACACGATCTGACCTGACCTGACCTGACCTGACCTGATGTGATCTGATCTGATCCCTCAAGTATCTAAGCGTATGTGTTCCGAGCCGAGCAAAAAGACGGAAGCAGCAAAGAGGTCATGTATATTCCGAGCTGAGCAAAAAGACGGAAGATGCAAAGAGATGAGCGGTGCCTGGTCGCGCGGGACGTCGTGCGGGGCACCTTCACAAGGCTCCGGAATGTGCACCCGGCAGCAAAAGACGTCTGCCCACTCCAATAAGCGACATTGATGTTATTCCAGGCAGAGCTAGCGCGGGGTTCACCCCGAAGTCCCTGGAAGGGGGTGCCAACCCGAAATCCCTGAAGAGCCAGCCCGAAAATGTATTCAGAGGTACAGGACCGCCTCGTGACTGCAGTTACAGGCAGAACTGCCGCAGAACCTCCGAGCAGGTTCCCAACCCTGAAATTAGCTTGAACCGGGCCTCCGCCGGCAAAGGCACGGACAGCCCGGCACATGACGCAAGTGGGGGCCACGGGCTGCAAGCGACCTAGACTACCTGAGCACGATCTGATCTGATCTGACCTGATCGGAGCAAAAAGACGGAAGCTGCAATAAGATGCGCGCTCTGAATACACTCGATGGCTGCATCGTGACTTTCGGGTCCAACTTCGCTGATGTCCTCGCCGCAGACATTGGTGGATGGGCAAGAATATTCGTTGAGACAATGGCAGCGGAGAGTACATCAACGACGACACGGGGCGACCTCTCAATGCAGGGGACACTGACGGCTATCAGAGGTACATCCAACGACACAATGAGAGAAGGGACACGGCCCGTCGCGCAGACAAGCTGTAGGGGAGAAAAATCCCCCGATCCTGGCCGAGCTCCGCTTCTTAAACACCCATGGGAGGTGGCTCGGCTGCTCAGCGACGCGAGAAAGCCCTACCTCGAGACAAAGGCGCGGGACAACGAGGAGAGGGACAATGAGGCCAACCAGAAGGCCAAGCGAAAAGGGCGAGCCAAGCGAAGAGGGAGGGTGCAGATGCTGAGAGCGGATAATATCTTTGCACGTTTTGAAAACTCTGCGGTGAGAACTGTTTAAACAGCAAGGACATCTTGCTTTCTCAGGTAAGCTCCAATCCATGGCCCAGCTTGGCCACATAATCTTTGACTCTTCTCAACACGGCGCTCCGAACCTTTCCAATAGCAGAGGGGGAATTGGGCGGGGAAGCATCAAGGCCCGAATTCAGTTCTTTCTCTTCAACGGAAACCCAAGGCACTCGCTCAACGCAGTGGGGGAGTGCATGCTTTTTGCCTTGACACCCGGTTTCCTTCCAAGCTCTCCTTTGATTCCCACAGGCCTCCTTTAGTTGCCTAAAGTTGTTTGTAAGCTGTCTACCAGAGCCCATGCAGGAGGGGAGCCACAATATAATATGCAGATATGCTCCATATGGCCCGGAAAAACCGTTCCGTGTTGTCAACCTATGTCACACCCACCTAGCCTGTGTTTTATCCGCCTGGGGGGACACAGAGCATTAGCCATGAACCGAGTTGCACCCAAGACAAGCCACAAGGAGGGGAGTACCATAGTACCCTTGCAAGCTGTTTTTCGTCATTGTATGGTCCTGTGATCTACAACATGCAATCACGAATCCCCCTCGAGCCGCGGCCGGGACTTCAGACCGCCATAGCACCACTGTTTCCTAGGAGTGAGCGTGTTGCTGTGGTCTTTGCTTTGTGAGCAGCCCAGAAGGGGGCAAATCGGTAGTCAGAACGGGGGAATCCCACTCGAAACTCCAGAGTACAGAGTTCTCGACTTGGCCTTGTGTTTACCGGGGGAATTCCTTTCCACGCCTCTCGCGACCCCGAACTGCATCTCACAGCTGATACCAGGGCCCCCTCCTTAGTATTTTTATCGCCCGATGCTTGCATAGTCAGTTTCTCTTTTTTCGCTTGTCAGCTGGGGGATGCCTTCTCTGTCGGCCATACAGTGTATAGCCACCCTTCGGGGGGGCTACCATGTACAGCCGAGCCTCCTGCGGTAATTACCCCAGGGGGATCTTTTCCGGTAAAGAACCGCAGCTGCGCGTTCGCGTGCGGGGGGAAGGGCCCGGACTGCCCTGACCTCCATGGCTGGTAGAGAGAGAGAGAGAGCGAGAGGTACAACGGGGACGCAGTACCCCCAAATCTTCGTTTGTTTTCAACTCACCTTGTAGCTCAACCTGTCTCGGCCGACAACCTAATCTGGGGGACCTAGCGAGACCCAATTAACTTTCTGTCCCTTCAGTGAAACTTACCAGGTCCTGCTCATAGGCAGCAGGGGGAGAATGCATGTTTTTTCTCGCTGCCCCAAACGACATCTCGCAGCTGACACTTGGGCCCCCGCCTTAGGATTTCAGGGCCTGATACTTGCATGGTCACTTTCATGTTTTGCTCGTCAGCTGGGGGATGCCTTTTTTCTTCAACAGGCCATGCAGTGTAAGGCCACCCTTGGGGGGCCTCCTTTATAGCCGAGCCTTCTGTGGCAATAACCACAGGAGGAACCACTCCTGCCAAAGGAACGCAGCTGCGCGTTCGCGTGCGGGGGNNCTTGACCTGCCCCGAACCCCATGGCTCGTAGAGAGAGAGAGAGAGAGAGAGAGAGAGAGAGAGAGAGTGAGGGCGAGTGAGGGCGAGTGTTATGTGTGTGCAACTTTTTGACTTGCAAGAAGAGAGAGAGAGAGAGAGAGAGAGAGAGTCTGCGAGGAGAACTCGCCTTTCGAAAAATGGACACACAACCACCGGTAATCGCAAAGGTGGCACAGAAATCTTTGTGGACGGGTCCACACACGTGCAAAAAGCAGCCTCCCTTGATGCTCATGCGTCTCGTCTTGGCTTTTGCTTTTGCTTGCCACTGAATATCCAACCAAACATGATCGCGCATTCAAAGTATTGCAAACCTCTGTTTGTACATGCACACGGCTTGCAACCTGCACTGTGAAGACCTAAGGCAGCCCCATGCACTGCAGTGTCGACGACTGCGCAGATCTGGCATGGGAGTTTGCAAGTTTCTGAGGAATCCGTTCCCAGATGATTCACCAATGCGGGATAGCCCCTTCCTTTAACAGTAGTTTGCATTCACACCGTGATTGCCATGACAGGGGCCAGCCGATCACGTACCAGGTGGCAGGATCCCCGCCGCGGGCTTTGAAGGGTGTTTGATCTAAAAGAAGGCAAAACTGACACATGTCCTTGGCAGTGCTTTTGCACCGAAAAGTAAGCCTCTTGAAACGAGAATAAAATGGAGCAGACTACCAAGAACTGAGGTGCCCGAGCACATCCTACAAGCCCGCCGCATACCAAGCATCTACGCCTGGCACTCAGCTCAAATCAAATGATCCTTGCCCAGCTGCAAAGCAGGACGGACCGACGACAGGCTGCTGCAGACACGTGCGGCATTTGCTGCTCTAACAGGCCCAAAGCCTTCCTGTCTCCCGCCCCTTTGCATCTCAACACCCAACCACATCTAAGTCGGCTGCAGTCAGCCACTCCGCCCACGGCTGAAACTCGTCAAGTCTGGAAGCCTTCCGTGGACTGACTGGGCGGCGCCCCGCATTTCCTCCACACTCCGTTGTTCCATGCCATCGAAGGCAGCAATTTTCCGTTGAAATTTTGTCTTCTCAAAAAGCCGCCATGAGCAGCCTTCAGAGGCAGAGCCTGCCGCTGAAGGTGGCATGCTCAAGGCTCCCCAGTTTCCACATGCCTAAATCCCATTGCCTGATCTCTGGTGGATGCCTGAACGGCTCAATAGATCTACCGCCTACTTGTAATGTGCCAGATGTGTGTGTGTGTGTGTGTGTTTGGTTCGTCAAGCTGAGGCAGCCTTCTGCGATACCGGCCATCACAGTGACAGCACCGCAACCCCAAGCGTCCGCAGCTGAGCATCGCGATGCATCCGAAGCATTGACCTGCAGTGGGACGCCACAGCATGTGGATCAGAAGCGTCCCACAGCATGTGCCATGACCTTCACGTGAGGCAGGTGTTTGGGAGGACTTGGCAGATGAAGCACACGCCGCACAGCCAGGCAACCCACGCAGCTGCCGGGCGTCACGGTATCTTCCCCACAGCCAGCAGCGCGTGCACCCAAGCATACTGAAGCTTTGCAAGCAGGATAACTGTGGTCAGCTGCGCATAGAGCATCAGTAAGTTGCCGGGGAGTGGGGCAGTCCAGCCCTACAGGCCTTCTGGTCGGGTGATGGCCGAGGTACCCAACCGTTTCCTACCAGCCAGCACCTTCCACTTCAGCAGTGGCCGGCACCCAGCCACTCTTGCAGCTCTGCCTAGTTTGTACAGGGATGCTCGAAAGCAGCAGTCAAAAGGGGCAGAACAGTACGTTTTAGTCTGTGTTGGATTGGAGGGGTCTTTCGGCAGTCTGTTGCTGCTCATTTAAGATATCACTTGTCTCAGGCAGCAGACAGGCCAGCTTCCTGGCATAGCATTGCCTGCTGCGCCTGCTGCACAACCACAAGCGTCCGTTGCTAAGTGAAGGCCACTACACAACTGTGATCAACTGTGTTGTGTAGTTTGCCTAGAACTGCTCGACTCAGGTCCGGGCCACCAGTGCAGCCGCCGAGACTCACTGAGGGGCTTTGGCCTCGTTCTGAAGTTGATCAGACACGGCCATCTGAGCTCCTGGCATTCTCAGGATTCCGGATCCACAGGCTGTGGAGCAGCAGAAACACGCCTATGAGAAGAGCCTGGATGCACAGCTCGACCAGGCGCAGCGGTGCAAAAAGCGGTAAAGCACTGAAGCGCTGGGTCTCCAGGGCATCAAGATGATTGAGCAGCAGAACGAGGTTAAGAAGCAAGCCCTCCGGCAGGCCCAGGGGAAATCGACCGGCACATCCTTCTTTTGAACTCAATGGCAATAGCACGAACTTAAATTACGTGGCAGGAAGCAGAAATGAAGAAGGAGCAGTACTTCTTGCAGGTTGGCAAAACCTGAGATATACCGGCCGAATGACTATCGACTTGGGAGAAGCTTGCCAGGTGGATCAGCAGCTGAAAGCACAGGAGATGAGTGTCGACCAGCAGGCGGGTGGGTGCGTTCCGAGGGGGGCAATGCTAGGCAGAGCTGGTCGCCGTTCTATCGGAAGTCACCGAACACGGAGTTCAGATGCAGAAGCAGTGCGAAGTTTTCAAAATCGTGTCGCTGTTGTGCCGCAGGCCAACTATCAGCTCATGGGACTTCAACAGGCAGCCTTTGAAAGGAAGGCTGTCCTGGACCAGCAGGCGAAAGAGGGAGCGGAGATGAGAGGAGAGGAGAGGAGAGGAGAGAGGAGAGAGGGGTTCCCTTCCTTGGCCCTCTTGTTTTGGCGGCAAAGGCAGCGCAAGCAACGCTGGAGTACGAGCAGAAACGGGTCGCCGATGATTTTGCTCGGACCCAGTGCCCCAAGTATGCCCGCAGCGCCCGCTCTCAGCCGCAATCTTCTGAGTACAGGTATGAACATAAGAAGAGGGCAGCTGAGAAGCAGGCCAGAGCAAACGAAGAGAGGAACCTTCGGTTGCCGTGCCATAGCATGCAGGCTGAGATGCAGCGCGAGCTGGCGAGGCAAAAGGAGGTCCCGGGCTCAGCCTGAAAGATCGCTCAGGGCCAGGACCTGAAATCCTTCCCGAGGCTTTTGCCCAGCAGCAGCGAGCCATGCAAGAGCAGTATGCCCAACAGGTGGGGATCTGAGATTGGATGTCACATTTTCCGCGACTTGTTCGGCTGAGGTTTTTGGAATTTGCAGAGATTTGCTAGTCTATGATGGCACCCAAGCTTGAAGTACTCAAGAAATTGCTTGACGATCCGGCATCCGGCATCTGCGAACCAATATCTGCTCATTCCTTGCCTCCCATACATTCGCGCAGACGGGTCTCGCACATGATAATGACCGGAGCCACCGGCTAGTGCCAGAGTTACAGTTGTGAACCAACCGCCGGCGTCAGTCTAACCTTGAGGCAGGTTGCTTTTTGGTCCTTGCATCACAGATTCCTGAACCGCATGGCAAAAGAACATCGGCTTGTGCAATAGCAATAGTAGACCGTGGCCCTCGCTCGTTATCCAAGTAAATCGATCAACCAACGCCAATTTCAACCTAGAGCCTCTCTGCTAGGCGGCAGGATTAGTGGCTGAGCGCCAGGCCACACCAGCCTCTTGGCCTTTTGGAGAATGCTCACTCCCTAACGGGTCGACAAACAAGCAACAATAGGCGGTCATCGTAAGGGTCATTATCATGATGGCCCTGTCAAGATCTTGTCATGGATGGTGATGCTGATACCAAATCACTAGGTAGGTGGCTGACCTGCCGCCCTGCGTTTTGTCACACTCCGAAAACCCGAAAGTACTGTAATTTACGGCATTCTGGCTTCTCAGGGCTATTTTGGCAGGTAAGGGAAGTTAGGCAAAAAACATGACCCTATGTCAAACATGTAAGGAGGAGTCTTTTCAGACTGTGCACGAACGAACTCCAGTTCGGCTGCACACTAGCTAGCGCCAGAGCGCACGAGGCAACGCCTCTTCAACGGAACTCTTGGGGCATACGTTGTGGCGCCACTGCAAAGCATACGCCCAGCTCCACGTCAAGGGATTGGCGAAGCTTTGCTTCTTCTGGTAGCGTCGTTATCATGGCTGCCACATGGATGCTCTGCAAAAACGGACGGAGTCTTTCTGGACGTTATCATGGTTGCCACATGGATGCTCTGCAAAAACGGACGGAGTTTTTCTGGACGTTATCTTGGTTGCCACATGGATGCTATGCAAAACGGACGGAGCCTTTCTGGACGCTATCATGGTTGCCACATGGATGCTCTGCAAAAACGGACGGACTCGTTGTGGACGTTAGCATGGTTGCCGCATGGATGCTCTGCAAAACGGACGGACTCGTTGTGGACGTTAACATGGTTGCCACATGGATGCTCTGCAAAAACGGACGGAGTCTTTCTGGACGTGAACATGATTGCCACATGGATGCTCTGCAAAATCGGACGGAGTCTTTCTGGACATTAACATGGTTGCCACATGGATGCTCTGCAAAAACGGACGGACTCGTTGTGGATGTTAGCATGGTTGCCGCATGGATTTT